CATCTTATAGGTTATTTTCAACACCGGCGACTATATTAAGTTATACGTTCAAAAACGCCTAGACGTTATGTATTCGAGATCGGACCCGAGCATACAGCGTGATCAATATTATAACGTGATAAACACGTTCTCTCGGAAAACATTATTTTTTTAATTTTTTAATCTAAAGAAAAATCCGCTCTAAAATGTTGTGCTGCCGTTGTTAGATTCGATTTTCAAACAGGTCCCGATGCGGAAAAATGCATAATTACGAGATGTGTGTTTAAATTTCTCGCGCGACGCGTCGTCGACGAAACATTCCGCTTTTGAGATTGTCGTTTTTTAGAGGGCGGAAGAGTGATGTCCCCTATCGATTTGTATGCCGTTCAAAAATAATAACGATAACGTTAATAATATACAGTAAACTATAGTGCATTGTACCTAAACGTAAATAAGTCTGGTTATAAATGTATAGCGATGGTTGACGGTTTCAATGTCTGATATTTTCCGCGGTTATCGAGAAGTAAGCCCGGTTAACGGTTACATAAGAACAAATATATATAATACCGGTACCTTTTCCAACAAATCGATAAATCGATAAACAACAATAATAATGAAAACATGATAAAAGACCACAATAACGGTTTACCGCTGGTTGCAGCTATACCAGTTTCCGGGGACCGTTTATACTGATCTTCGAACTCGATCGACCTCCGGTGCTGAGGACCCGATTCCCAAAAACGAAACTAGAAAATTCGCCGTCGTTTGTATACGCTCCTTGCGACTTTACCGCGTTCACTGAAAATTATCACATCCGTTACACACTTTTTCTAAACAATAATAATAATGACTGAACATAAATTCGTTGTGTAAATTATTTTACACGCGTCACAGCGATTATACGATCAACGAAATAACATCACTACGGGACTGCATAACAAACGGATATTGAATATTTGTCCAAATTTTGTATCTCCAAATAATCAAATAATACGGACATACGTCGGTAAAACGGTTTTCCAAACGTTCCAGAGGCCGTACAACGACGTTAACTCATTACGATCAATTGCAATTACTGAAAAGTGTTTTTTGATGAACCGTAGATAAACCCGTTCTTGAAGATCACGATATAGTCTAAATAAAACTACGGGGAATCCAAAGGGTACAAACAGATTTCAAGTTTCATCCGAGTCGCCGTCACACATATTTTTAAATGACTAATTTAACCAAGTGTGATTCATACACCATTTATCTGTTTTTTTTTTTCACCTTCGATTTTCAGCGCAGTTGATGCACGCCCAGCGTGATCTGTCCGATTTAAAAGCTATACTCGACGTTTTTATTTAAAAACAGTACGTATTATGGAGATATACGTACAAAATATCACCGTTTCACCTATGAAATTGTGGCGCGGATCCCCGTTATTTTGAATTTTTTACCAACCGGTGTTCCGCGTTATTATCATAAATTCATAATAATTATATTTTAATTCTCGGTGATTGTGGCGCAGCGAAATATTTTACTCCGTGAGCCCCGTTAAGATTTTATCCGCCCGTCCACCTACCAAATTTAAAGGCAACAAGCAAAGATTACCCACCCCCACCCCCCTCTCCATCATTATACAACTACTGCCATTCAGTATAGTAGCGGTCCACGAATGTGTCAGGATAACTATTGGGAAAAACCAGAAAACGGCCTACTCAATACACCGACTAGACGCAATTCGCCATCAGATATCACCTACATAATATAGTAAGTTGACGATCGGAGCGCGATGTCTCGTAAAAAAAAATTCTTCGCGGACACACAACGACATTAAAAAGCGCACGCCTCTCTCATAATCTAAAACCGAATAATAAATAACTTTCGTTAAAACGGGTCCAAAAAGGTTTTCTGTCGCGCAGAAACCTTAACATGTTGTAACTGTTTTAGAAATCTACGTCTTGTTATAATATATACGCGCGGCGGCCGTTAAAAATATAGGTACCCGTACCTGCGCCCGCTGTCCGGCAGTTTGTGACCGACCCGCGTAAAAAAAAAAAAAAAAAAGCTTTCAAACACAATATAGTAAAATATTGTTGTTTTGCATACGGGTTTTGTTGTGAACTCGAGCGAGTCACGTTCAACGGGTTCACGGCGCGCGTGTGTATTATGTTTTTTAGAGGTAATTATATGCAACCGATTACCATTATTTTATTATTAATATTGTAGTACGCGGGTAACCGTCGGGATGGACAAATATACACACTAACGAAAAATTCGTAATGTAATACAATCGGAGGCGTTTTTTACAATTTTTTTTTTTTTTTCTGTTATAAATTTCTTACAATTATTTTCGTAACGGCGTTTATACACGCTAAACTGCGTGCCCGTCGTGTTTTACACGTTGTTATACCTCCGGTTATGCCAATAAAAATCGATGAAAATCATACTAAACTAGACTAATCAATAATGAAATATGAAAATAAACCGCGTGCCTACACCGGATACGCTGTAAATATTAGTGACAACACTAAGTAATATTAACACGAAACGAACATGATATTAATATTAAAAAACTAGCTGTCCCGCAGCCCGTGCTAATTTTTATCCTTTTACTTTTACTACCGTATCGTTTTGTCCGTATCGGCCGTATCAGTATATTATTGAACTAAAAAAAAAATAGGTGGAAAGTAGATAGTCCGCGGATTAAAATTGTTCTAGTGTGTCATACATTTGTTCATTCGTGTTACCATAAATGCCCGCGCAACGCAGGGATTAAACTATATATCAACTATATAAAAACCTTAAAATTATGAGGACATAATAGTAATGTATAGTGATATTGCTTTACCAAAAAATATACAAAGATTCAGAGATGACATTTTACGTGTTTTCACTTTTCACTTACCTACGCACATAGATTTTTGTTTTTTTTTTCATTCATGTTACCAAGTTATCTAGCCCAGCCTATTTCAGTCAAACAGACAGATAGACTCTTTATTTTAAGTTGTTATAGTTGTTATGGCATTTTTATTTCTGTTTATTATTTTTTTTTTTCATTTCATCCGTGTCACTACAGAAATCCATAATTTAATTTACCAAAATTATCTAAAAACCTTTGATCTCCTTAAAGTTTTATTTTCGCGACAAAATGCAGCCTATGTTTTTCTCCAATGTTACATTTATCTCTGTACCAAAATTCATCAAAATTGGTTCAGTAGTTAATGCATGAAAGAGTAAGAAACATCCATACATCCTTACAAACTTATTTATAATATTATTAGTAGGATGCGGCTAATAGGGGTATAGCCCTCGTGGACTCCCCCTGGCTTTTTTTACCATTGTATATTTTTGTGTTAGAAAAGGAATTATTGTGTTTTTTGAAATATATTGTTTTCAATAACTGCATCACAGAAACTTAAGAAATAAAATAAATACCACTAAAGAAGAAATGCTAGTGTTTCTAAAAAAATAAAAAACACTGCGGGTAATTTTTTAAATTGTAATTTTAAATAAAAAAAATTGGTTAAATAAAACTAAAACCTTGAAGTAAGAGAAATTATCATTTATAATAATAATAAACAATCATAATCTTGAATTCCTAAATGTAAAAATGTATGTTAAACGTATATTTCTGTTATTTTTTGTTGGATTTTAAGTCAAAATAATCTTGGTAATCAAAAAATACGTCTTTATGTATAGGTAATATAATAACAAGAAAAAAATGTCTTCCGTTTTTCAATTGAATAAACAAAATTATTTTTACGAATTTAAAATAAATTTGTTTTCAAAAAAAAAGTCTATTTGAATATAAACTAAAATTTCTTCAAATATTTTTTATAACCTATTTATTATAATATTATAATGAAAAGTTCCTATTTTGCATTAATATTTCTTAAAACATATACAAAAAAATTGCATATTTTTGTTGTTGATATTTACAGGAATATTTATTTTGTAATTAATTTTTCTTATACTCTTGAAAATTATAATAATAATGTAATAACTTTAAATTAGATAGGTAGGTACCCACCTAACATTTGTTTTTTCAACTAGTAAAATATGTTAATTAACATTAGCTAATGACTAATAGTTCTTATAATATAAAAATTTATTCATATTAAAATAATTTTCATAGTAAAATGTTATTATATTTAAATCACAAATAATTTAGAAGATATTAATAGTTTAATATCGAAGATAAATTTTTAATTACTATCATACAACAGTTACCTTCTTTATAGATTATAGTGGATCGCTTGGTACTTACTATAGCTTATAGATAAGTACTGTATTTTTATTTTAAACTAGATATTATACAAGTATACAACAATAAAATATATTTGACGGATACTTGGATAACCTTGGATATATTGGGTCGTGAAATTTAAATACCTAATTATAAACAAAGTTTTAATTTTGTACCTATGATGGTGCAAAGTATTATTATTATTTTTTTTTTAATGTTAAGTATAAAATTTATTAAACTATAACAGAGAATCATAACATTATAAAATCTAATTTTATTTATTTTTTGGAAACTAACTAGAATCATATTTGCTGTGATATCTACATTCAGTTAAGTCTTTCCATTTACAGAGTATTCAGATAAAGAGTTCAGTAGTTGAGTGGGTAGGTATTAAATTCATATTGGTGTCTAGTTTTTTTTTTTTTTTTTGTGTTGTAAAGTTCATCTAGAACCTTATTGTAAGTGTTACCCTCGTTTAGATATCAGTTGAGTGGTTCCATGTATATAGATCTGTTATTGAGCACCTATTTACATTCTACCTATTGAATTTGAAATAATAACTGTATATTATTATACATTTTTAATATTGTTATCTTTATTAATAATTTGTTGAGCTGTAATACATTTTGTCATGCATAATCGTTGAAATGAATATTATGTACGTTTTAACTGCTACAAACATTATTTATAGAATATAAAAATTATATGTCTTATGACAATTTACAAACGTACCTATATAATATTAGGTATACCTATACAAAAAAATTGTATAATAATAACTTATAAGAATATAAATTACAATAAATTGTATTTTCCTAAAGGTAAATTTCAGGTAAAACAACTCATTTCATAAATTGTATATTTCACTAATGAATATTATCTATTACAACTCATACATTAAAAGGGCATTAAGTACTTAAATGTTTAAAATTTTAAATTTCAAAATAAACACAAGTCACGATAAAAATAAAAAACGTTGTCATGCATAACACAATAAAATTATATTAACAAAACATCCTACAATATTATAACCTAACTGTTTATATCCATTATAACTATTAGGTATAAAGTAAAAATTAATCTACCGTTTTAAATATTATAAATACATATTTCATTGCTTTCAAATCTATAGTTGTATTTAAATTTAATCAACTAAATCATCTATATAAAAAAAAAAAAAAAAAAAAAAAGGTATAAGTTCATAAATAATTGTACTAATAAATTAATGGATAGGTACATATTTTAAATTAAATAAACAATTAGCTATATTTGTAATTACATACATATTCCTAAAATATTACCTACTTATTATTTATTATTAATATATTTCAACCATATACATATTGCAACATTACACAGTTATAATAGCAATCCACTTTTAAATAATGCATCAATGATGATTAAATTAGTAAAGTAGGTAATACATTAACAAATCGTAAGCAAATAATCAAATTACTCACTGAACAAACAGGATGTAACAGGACTATTTAATAAATATATTGACTTTTTTCTATTGAATATTTTTATTTTTTTTTTAAAAAAAATAATTATTACATCTTTGAGCAATAATCTTAGAAACACTTTTAGGAAGATTATGTCAATTATGTTTAAATAATTTTTAGAGTTTTGGAAAATGTGCCATTTTTTTCGTAATTTAATTTTTAAATGATGAAATATTGTACAATTTGATAATATTCTTATCATATTAATTTAAGCTGTGAGCCTCATAAACGCTAAAGTAATGGAATATGTTTCAAAATTGTAAAGTAATAAAATGAAGTGTAAAATATAAAAACTATAGCGTACAGTTTTAGTAATTATTACAAAAAAAAAAAACTTAGAAGTATTCAATAGAAGTCATTTCTATTGTTGGATAGTCCTGTTACGCTCTGTATAAAGCAAGGATACTTTATTTGATTTTGTGTTCACAAAGTCACCAAGATTCGTATTCATTTGTATTGCACAGTACCTACATACAAATTATTCATTCCTAACATTTTGGTTTCCAGTAGAAGTAATTACACTAGTCAGCATGTCCTTAGGTCCCAACTGTTCCATCACTTGCCCGTTACTAAAAATAAATAAAAGTATAATTATATAAGATACCTACTTGAACTGATTAATTTTTTAAATTACCAATTTAAAATACTTAATACTAAATACAATAGTAAATAGATATAATGTACGTAGTTTGCAGAAAAAAACCAAAAAATATCTATCGTAATATGGCTTTAGTGTAAATTACATTTCTTAATAAGTAATATTTCAACTATATCATTTCACTCTTTAAAACGGAAAATCAGTGAACCACTTGTCCATTAGATATGAAAAAAAATCAACATTTTAAATTAGCTTTTTTTAGTTTTTAAAAAAATTAAAAACTACCTAGTTTTCAATGTTCATTTTTATGAATATTACTTGTACAATAGTTACCTAAATGTATTTTATTTTTTACTATCTGTTATCAATATATAAGTATATTGCTTTATGCCATTGTACATTGTTAAAAAGCACAATGGCATTAATTTTATTAAATAAAATGTGTATTTTATAAAATACAGTTGAAATCTAATCATAGAAGTTAAATTTATGATATAAAGCTAATTTCACTGACTACTTAATAATATATGTCATTACCTATCTAAATATATTTTGATAACAAATATTTTATATTTACTTATGTTTAGCCATATGACAGTTAAGGTTTGTCAGCGGCGGAGGTAACGAAGGGATGTGAATTTGAGAACCATGGGGAAGAAAGTGATCTTGTGATGTCATTACGGCTGTTTCATAACCAAGATGTCCCTGTTGATGTTTATCAGATGAATTACTAAACAAATGTGGAAGAAGAAGCTTTGTAGTTACTTCCCCTGAAACATAATATAGGTATACCGAATTAATGTATTATAACACACTGTATTTTGAATAAATCTATTAAATCTATAATACTATCAATAATAAACGAGAATAAATATTTATTTAGTAATATAATTTTATACTCTAATAATTATGGTAGTGTAACATAACCAATATCTGTAAAAAATTTAAAAGAACAAGTATCTAGCGCCTAGAAATATTAGAAACGCAACTTACTTTACTTATTATACACGAGCTATACAAAATAATATTTTGATGCCGTGTAAAATCGTTAAGTAAGTTAATTATATGATTTAACTGTTACATTAAAAATCATATTTATCGTTTTAAAAATTTTACAAATAGATTAGATAGTTGAACAATTATAAGTTCCAAAGTTTTAGCTAAATGTTCCGCTAATTTAAATTTTTGTATATATCTTAGATTCGAATGTCAATAGTTATAGTTATGGTTAATAGTTACTGAGATTACTAAATTAAGTCAAATATATTTTTTATTGTTCTAAGTTCTGTAGTTCTGTTAAATATATTTTTAAAAAGCCGCTACAGCCAATGGGTGTCCACCATGTGACACTGTTGTAGGTGGAAAGTTGAAAAAGTAAAACACATAGAGTTATTTAATTTAAATTTGTACGCAACGATGAATCATTGTTTATTAAATACGACTTTGAGTTTTAAGTTCTGTTAAAAATGTTTTTAAATGACAATTGAAATACGAATTGCTTCAAAATTTTGTCTTAAACGCTTTTAAAAAAATAACAACTACGTTTCGCTCATTTAATTTTATTATCACTACGTACAACTTTTAATGAAACTCGTGTTAATTTTCCGAGAATTTCTATTTGACCAAAATAATTTTATCCACATAAAATCAAATAAAAACTAAAACAACTCAAATATTTCAAATATCTATAAATTACTTAAAAATTGCGAAAATGTTTTGAAAATTTGTTACGTCTAGAAAATACTGACATATATATCTTTGGAAAATGTTAAGTCTCTATGATAGTTATTAACCGAATTATGAAAAAAATAAACAAAAGTCAAAAATAATGAAACCGATATTGCCGTAAACTTTCTAGTTTTTCCTAAGTTTTCCAAATTTTTAGGAAAACTACAAAGAAAATCAAAAAGCTCAATTATTGTAATTATAATTATTCATTATAACTTAGAAAAATAATTTCTTCGTAATTTTTAAATTATACACATATAACACAACATTTTAGTTTATTATTTTATTTTACTATGTTAAGTACACCGTAAGTGTTGTCACCGCCTGAAAAATGTTTTAATACGAATTTAACTATATTTTAAGTATTTGTGTTTCTAAACATTAATTTAGAATAGGTATGACCCCGTTGTGTCCGTTCGTCCGTCCGTCCGTATAATAAATATTGGGGGGACGGAAATCCGGATATTTAGAAGCCGAAATTAAAATTACATTTAAAATCTGAGTTTTAGATTTTGAAGCTTTGATTTTGCATTCTTTTAGACATTATTTATTCAATTAAAAAACTAATCATAATTGTATATTTATTTAGTATAAATAAGACTAATATAATCATACAACGAGGGACAAATACAAAAATATATACAATAGATTAAATAAAAATCAAAAAATCGAATTTATGATTTTCGGATAATCCGGTTTTATACCACGTCACTAACAGTTACTAATATATTTGGTTGACAAGGAAAATGGGTATATTATATTTTTGAAAACAATATTTTAAATTTAAATTTATAACATTATTAATATTGTTATTAATTTAAATACGTATCCATATAACTAAGTCAATATTAAAAAAAAATTGTAATAATATGACGTAGATATCAAAATACAATAAAGTTACCGTAAGAATTTAAAAAATTTTCCGTCAAGAAATTAAGATATTTAATTTATTTTAGGTTTCTACGCATAAGCATAATGAATTACCGAATTCTTTCCGAAATCGTATACGGGATTATGTAATGTATTGTTTGAAATACATTTAGGAACCGGGCACTCTATACGCGTTCGCAATATGGGTTGTCCTAAATTGTTTTTTCATAATTAATATTTGATATTTTTTTTAAAAAAAAAAAAAAAAACAACCTAATACCTATGTATTTAAAAATACCTCGTGCGCGTAATAATAAATTGTCGAGTACATAAACGAATAAATACCTTTATACTATTAATATAGTATACCTACACATACTCGTAAATTGCATTATAACACTTAGTCATACTTTATGACTGAAAATTATATTTACGAAACATTTGTGTTATTTGTATGTGTGTATGTATATATAATATAAAACTGTAAAAACTTTATCTTAATAATTACGAACCATCGAGTTTTCTTCGATTCGTATATAATATTACCGAGTTGAAATCAAGAACTATACGCGATACATTATATTAGGTATTATGTTTTACAATCCGTTAGATTAATTTTTTAGCTACTAAATACCAAAAACGTTGTAACTAAAACAAAAATAAAATACAAATTGTTGTAGGTACCTGATACTTACGTTCGGAGAAAAAAATAAAAAGTAAATCGATTTTAATATTCAGTACGACATAATACTCTATATACTATATACCTACGTCGAATGTAATATGTCAAAACTCGACTCACGTATACGTAATATTATATAGTGAATAATATACTATTAGTATTATACTACTCGTATACCTAGTAGGTTTTTTTTTTGTTTTTTTTTTTATGTCACCGTATGTTTACCGCCACGAGATCGTTAAAACATTTTTCCTTATCAGTTACACCACCTCCAACTCTTTGTGCACTTCACCTTATTCTCTTGTGCAAACACTGCAATGTTGACTTACTCGCTGATAAGGCCGTAAATCCCATGCGCGCGGGCCGTGCCACGACTCGCTATAGCCTCCCCCAAATATACACACAACAAGTTTTACCAAAATAATAAAAACTACGAGCTGACGATTTCTACAAAGTATCATGCGTTAAAAATGTGTAGATTTCGTTATTATAGTTACCTGGCGACGGTTTTTCTTTAGACGACGAATTTTGGCCGAAACCGATGGACGGGTTTTTCGGTTTTCTCTTTCTCGTCTGTATGCCGTCTTTCTTCATCGTCAACGGCCTATTGACCTGAAATTACCCATGAAACAATGTTTATTTTCAAACTCTAGTTAGTCATCTGGGTTTCCTAGTTAATATTGACACAACAGCCATCCGGTGTGCGTGTGACGTCTATTATACGGCGGAAATCTGGGGAAACCGTTCCGTCCTCTGCGGATATTTACACACCGGGTGACGCGATACGAGCCAAAATAGAAGTCGTCGAATGAAATATTAAAATAATTAGACGTAATTGAATTTGAAGAAGAAAAAAATACCTAATAACAAAACCCGGCGTCGTAGAAAAGTGGTAATTGTAATATGTTTGCGCCAATTACCCATACTGCAGTATGGGTACGAACAATTAGGCTAAAAAATTATCGTTTTTCTAAACATTTTCGTTTTACAAAATAAAACGGTTATTGTTTACGACAAATGAAAGTAAAAGCCGCGGTTAGGTAAAACAATGACCGAACAATTTAAAACTACGAGGTTTTTTTTCTTTAAGCAAACAGATAGTATTGGGTCCGTGGGAATCGAGACTAGTATACCTTTATAGTTATAGGTATACCTACCTATATACCGATCGCGGAAATCTAAATAATATCTACGAGTTGTTAAACACTAACCGAGATAAGTAAAACAAACCTTTGGTAGGTACGGAATATTAGAAAATGTTTATTGGAGGATACGTATATGTATAGGACACGTATGTAACACAAACATCACGGCGAACAACAACGTTCGTTCCAAATATATAATAATATTATATTACAACGAAAATATACTTACTGCCCGTGTATCCGAAATAATATAATTTCGATAGAAACATATAAATGCGACAAATAGGGCCGAGCTCGGTAAGTAGAATAAGTGCCGTCAGCTACGCCGAAAAAATAAATGATATCTAAGCGGGCGCCGAGCTTAAATCGTTAAACGGCTCGATTGCTTACCACGTAATTGTCGACTTGGCAAGTTTTATTTATGATAAATAAGTGCACACACATACGCACACGATTTGTTTATAAATATAACGGTATAAATAAAACTTGCCGAGTCAACGGTTCAGCGGTAAAAGCAAGCAATTTGTCCAACAGTTTAAACTTGACACCGATATCATTAATTTTTTCGGCGAAGCTAGCACACTTGTTCTTTTTTTATCAAACTTAGACACTTTTTCCACATCTATGTTTTTGGCGGTACAGCATCACTTTTGTAATGTTACGTTCTACTTAAATATAATAATATACGACTACATAGTGGCACAAATATTCAAAATAGTATTAAAGTCAGTAAAATTATAGGAATTCGAAAACACGCTGTTGAAAAAAATGTATTCTCTATTATTTTACTATTGTGTACTTGTAGAAGTACCACGACCGGCGAGACTCAGTATTCTATAGACGTTTATCTCCCCTCTGTCCCCTTCTAAGTTGGAATTTTACGGATTTTTTAGTTTTTTCGTAATTGTAACTTTGACTAATATCTATGGTTAAAATTTCAAGTTTTAATTTTATTAGAAGTACCTAGGTTTATGATTATCTATCAGTGAATGAGTAAATCAGTAAATTTATGAATTAGCGAGTGTTAAAAATTGCAATTTTCGGACACCTAGACGTACGAAATTTGGAATACAGCTTCCTTTTGGTAACCTTGACGTAACCTTGATCGAGGGATGGTCGAATAGAGCTCGAAATGGTTTGTGTAATTATTGCGCTGCGTGCGACCGAACTTGGCCGAGCTGGCGTATTGTTGTGCGTTCAAATTAAATCTTGCCATTCAAAGTCGGTAGGATATGTTGGATACCGAAATATTTATATTGCGTTAAATGATGAAATATAATAATATTATGATTGCTGATAACATTTTCCCCACGTGTAACCAAATATGATAATAGTCATCTTATCTCTGGTATAAATTTAAATCACGGCAAATAAGAACAAACAGAAAAACCGATAAAATTTAAACGCTGAATCCGATGGAAATTTAGTTAGCAATGGGTAATTTCGGAAAAAGATCGAACGATAAAATATCGAACAAACTGTTGAGTTTCGGAATGTATTCGTTATCGTTTTGATCGAACATCGCTACATTTTTGAAGACGCCCCTATATACGTTATTTAAAGCAAAAACAGCCCCGCTGATAGGAGTGTCACTGTTTTTTAGAAGGGAAATTGAAATTTGATTTTTACATCCATAGCGCGACGAAAAATATTATTAGACGTATTTATTCACTCTTGTTGACAGGGTTGTAATCAAAAAATCGACTGAGAAAACTACGGGGAAGGAACATCGAAAAATGACCGCCAAGATGCACCAGCAACTAAATCGACAATTCTACAACAAAGTCCCGACGGAGTTTTTGATTGGAACGAGACTGCCGGTACAAAAGTCGTTTTCAGAATGCGCATTGCACACGTTACGCATTTTTCTCTTTAAACGCCACAGCCGCAGAACACCGGGACGTTAACGGACAACAACGAATAAAAATTAAAAAAAAAGAAAACGCGTTTCGACTACGCAGAGGTTTTCGTGAATCATAATAATAATAATATCAATAATCGTATTGCACGCGCTGATAAGTGTATAAAAATTCGCCCGTAACACAATTGTTACAATATCACATAGTCTCGTAACAAACTGTCATAATGTAAAAAAAAAAAAAAAAACCGAATGGCGGTACAGTACGACAGTCGATTAAGCTTACGTTATGCAATTTGAAATAGAGACCGCAAGCGTTGCACACGGGTTCTCCGTTGTTGTTTCTCCTCCACAGTGTCGTCGTGTTTGTCGAACAGTTGGCGCAAGCCACTCCGGAACGTTTGTTTCCAGTTTGCTACATAATAATAACGTGTATAATATTATTGTATTGCATTGCATATACGCGCGTAAAACGAATAGTAAAATATCGGTATTGGGAACCGCGTCGCGCTGCACGTACCGCGTCTACGTATACAATAATAATAATAATATGTAAACGCGCGCGCAATTCGACTACGGTACGTACAACACGTATCCGAAGCGATTGCCGTTTCTGGGCACTACGTAGCATCATAGCCTCTCCTATGTACCCGCGTTTGTCCGTACGTGCGCCTAACCCAACCGGCCTACCGCAAAGGTCCGGGTCGGTGGAGTAACCGGTACCGCCGATGCCCGTGACGAAACACCGCGTTTATCGGTTCGGGGCCGATGAGTAAAGAAAAAAAAAAGCCTATCCAATAACGCCTTGAGCCCCGGTTCGGGGCCGCTAAATCTCATGGGCCCGCGGCGTTTGCGCCACTGGTTCGAGTTAGAATTGAGTTACGAAAACACCGTCTTATAGGACGTACGAATCGTGTCGTTTGGGTTGAAATCGCGTGGAGTTTGGCATCTTAAACGAACATTAAATAAGAGTACTTGTATATTTTCGAGAACAGAGGGTTGTTTGTTCGCCCGAGAACCGAGACGAAGCCGCGAGATTGGTGACGGGCATATCACTTTAAACTGTCGAGGTTGTTCGATAGACGGACTGTCGAAAATTCCGTTCGAGTTTTTTTTCGATCCAATTAAAACCTGTTCGGTCATGTCCGTCGCTGCACACAACCAAGACGCGCAACATGTTCCGGGATTGAAAACTACAAAATATATTCGAATTGTCACGACGTTATGACACGTTATGGGCTGTACAAAATCGTTTATCGCTCGTTCGAAAACCCGAATACAACAATAATAATATTATAAATCCTACTAAAGAGGCGATTGAGTTTTATTTTTTTTTTTTTAATTTTGAACAATGTTATAATTTATTGCTAAAGATATGTTGTGATGCATAAAAATGTTTTTGTGTGTACGTCGTGTGTAAAAATGTAAATAATATCGTTAACGTTAAAATCCTACAATTTATAACTGTTGGAAAAACGTTTTGCCGTAAACCGGCGACACCCGTTATAACATTATGGGATAGCGAAATTCCCTAACAAGTTTGATCGGATAGAAACAATTATTTAAAATGTGTGCAAAATAAATGTAATGCAACGAAACTTTGAAATTCGTATATTCTATACATTTTAAGTACCTACTAATAGTTATTTATTTTATCGCTAAAAACCTCATTTAAGAACCTTTTATTAGTGAAATCTCAGTACTCATATTTTAATACACTATAAGCGTTTAAAAAACAAAATATCACGAGTGCTTTTAACGGGACTGTTAAATACGGTTTGGAACAAAATTATCCGATTATTATACTGATGAGTTCTACTGATATGAATAGCACGACGTAGACGATAATCGCCTCTATCAGTGGCGCGCCCAGGGGGGAGCTAAAACTAAAACAACTCGATTTCAAAAAAAATGTTTGCAAAACGCACAATTGTGCATAGTAGGTATATGCAATTATTCGTGCTTAATTTAAAAAAATAGTGCAAATGTACAATGAATATTGTTTTATTAGAATGAATAAATATTAATTTTCCAATGCTGAACAGTTTATATTATTATTATTATTTTTTTTTTTTTTTTTATACTTGACGCGGTCAATGGAGGGGTCTGAGGCCTCCTTTGCCCACCTCGACCCGCGGGTACGCCACATGCCTCCATTGTAATATTCGCGGTTCGTCGCGATCGGGATACCTACCTGGGTGGTTTTCTTCTGAGCCGACCTGACCGGCGGACGGTTCACCCCGTTGATCCGATTGTACAAACCGCACGCGTTGCACAGATGATGACCGGTGCCGTCCCTTCGCCACAGTGGCGTCACGTTGGCCGCGCAGTTCACGCATTCCTTCATGTCCACGTTCAGAATGCCGTCTGCGGAATAGAAAAACAACGCGATTATCGATCGAGGTCGGGTTTTTTATTTTACCGGTCGGCGCCGAACAACCGTACTCTGATCGTAGTGCTCGTCGATCCACGACGGCCCGGGATTGCCGCTCTGGAAAATGGCGTACTGCGGCGTCACTTGAATGCTACCGTCCTGGGGTCCGAGTCCGGCTTCCATTTGCAACGCGTTGGCCGCGGCGAGCGTCTCGTCGGCCGCGGTCGCAAAGTCCGCCACTTGTTGCTCGTGGGTTCCCCAGAAGTCCGGCTGACCGCTCTCGCCGCCGCCGTTACCGTCGTCCTGGTACTCGGGTTGCTGCTGTTGCTGCTGCTGCTGTTGCTGCTGTTGTTGTTGTTGTTGTTGTTGCTGCTGTTGCTGCTGCTGCTGTTGTTGCTGCTGTTGCTGTTGCTGCTGCTGCTGCTGCTGCTGTATCATGGTCTGTTGACTGTAACCACCCTTCTGATGACCCGAACCTTTCACCCCGTAATCGCCTCCTCCTACTACTACCCCTCCTCCACCATGACTCTCCTTTTCGTATATATTGAACATGTCGGGCGCCGGCTGTTCGCTCTCGTACGTTTGATACGAAGTTTGATACGCGCCCTGTTGTTGGTAGTTCTGCTGCTGCTGCTGCTGCTGCTGATAAACGTCCGCAACCGATTCCAAAGTGACGTAACTCGAATTGGGATCCATTTTGGCCTGCTGCTGCTGCTGGTGATGGTGGTGTTCGTATTTGATTAGAGGTTGTTCGAAAGCGCCGTTGTTTCCGCCGCTTTCCTCGGGAGAATGTCCCCGGTACTCTAAATATCTGATCCGCTGGTACCTCTGATGTTGATGATGGTTCGGATAATCGGCCGTCGTGACGTACCCGTGAAACGTGGCCAACTTTTCCATCGGTACCTGTAAATGCACTTCGGTGCCGTCCACGTTCCTCCGGAGCCGAATGGCCTCGGCCGGCGGCGGCGGCTGCGGCGGCGGCGGCGGACTGTGTACCGGCGGGTCTTTCCGGTATTCCTCGGGGGACACGGCGGACTCCTCGGGCGACTGCGGCACGGCGGTCGCGCCGTTCTCATCGAACCCGTCAATGAGCACCTCCGTCGGCACGCATTCCGCCGTATCGTCCGGCGTACAGTTTCTCGGCAATCTAACAAAAAAAACAAAAACAAAAACCACGCGACGGTTATATTATAACGACGCACCGGACTGCGCGATGAACAAACGCCGCCTAAATAATAATAATAATAATAATAATAATAATAATATTGAATTATAGCGCCGCGGGTCACGGAGAAATTACGGAGTTGCGGCGCGCGCTGCAGTATCGCAGCGTGGCAGTGTCACGGCGGACAATAATAAATATTATCGCCGGCACCGTTTCGTTCGTGAACCGTACGCGCGCGACACTCACCCGTCGTGTCCGCCGAAATCTCTCTGCTGTTGCGCTTTCAACTGCGGCATGGTGTCTGATGGCGGCTGCGGCTGGGGCCGCGGCGGCGGTGCACCGCTCTCGTTGCGGACCTGCCCGACGCCGCCGCCGCCGCCGCCGCCGTCGACGACGACGATGTTGTTGTTGGGCACGGTGGTAATGTGTCCCGACGTCGTAATGGTTCTGATATGAGCGGGGGCGGGCCTTATCACCCCTCTGGAAGCCACGTCGTCCTCCATCATCGTAGCCCTTCGACATTAATAATAATAATAATAATAATAATAATAAATTTTTTTTATTAACCGCCGGCGGCGGCGGTACGTGATTGTTGTTGTTGCTGTTGTCACTACGACATCCCGAGCGACGCGCGCGGCCGCGTGTCACGGACGTATACGCGCGACAACGGCGACAGCGATAATGATAACAGTTATTGCCGTCCGCGGCACGTCCGAGACGAACGGATAGCACCAACGCGGACGCGGCGGTCGTCATTATCGCGTCCGCGTCCGCGGGTCGGGCCTGTAACGCGGTGGGGCCGATCGAACGTAATCGCAGCGATATTTCAACCGTATCGCGTTTTTTTTTTTTTTGTTATTCGCGCGGAAACGATGGTATTCGCTGTACGCCGTCTCGACGCATTGTCAGCGTGCTGATGTAATCGACCGCGCGATAATAACGCGTTGTTTGTTCGGAGACGGGACGTCGACGAGTCGAGCAAAACGAACATTTGCCGAAAACGGAACGAAACGTCGTTACGCGGGGAAAAAAAAAAACAAACGAAACAACGAAGCGATTGTCCGCTATGCACGAGATTCTGTAGCGTCGGTACGTCGCGGGCCGCCCCCGCACGCTGTAGATTTAAACACACGCGAGCACCCGCGCGGTAAAAAGTGTTTTCATTGCCGAAAATGCGTACGGCGACTGTAACACGAGAACGCGCGCTCATTCCGCATTCGCGACAGACGAATTTTCGGTCGTGGCGGCAAGCGAAAAACGGCGGACGAGTGGTGGTGATGGGGAGGGTGGGGTGGGGGGGGAGGGTTGCGGAGAGCGAAAAAAACCCGCAAGAGTCGCCGACTTCCCGTCTCCGCGTCCGGGTAGTTTTCGACGCGCCGCCGCCGCCGGCCGCCGGGCCGCGGCGGAACGACCGGCGGCGCGAGACTGGTGTTTTTCGGCCGCGCGTCAAAATATCGCGGCGATGCAATGGGACACTGTATCGCGGCGTTAATATCGCGTACGCGCGCGGAACGCGTCGAGTGTGCATCTTTTTATCTCGAAACCGATGAGATAAAAGGAAAAAAAAAAAAAAAAAACGGTCGCCCCCCCGAGCCATCATATCTTTGTCGCTCGATAACGCGCGAACACCGCGCAGTGTTTACAACGATATTGTATATATTTGTATTATCGCCGTTTATATAGGCGGGCGGATAGTGTTCGGAATAGCCGTTGTCTAATCTTACCCCAACTTTCCCGCCCGCGGAGATATCCTACGCGCGCGTGATAATGAAAAAAACCACACACACAAACACACACACACAGACACACACACACGCGCGCACACGCACACGAAAAGAATAAATAGTGTAATTTACCTGGGCCCCGCGCTATCGTACCCGACAGTAGCGTTTCGGCGACATAATCGTTCGGTACGGCACCATATTTTTGTTATTAAGAATTTATCGAACGGAACGTCCGGGAATGGAACCGAGAGGAAATAATGAGAAAAAAAAAAAAAACAACAAGTTAAAATACAATAATATGAAATAATATTCGCCGGCGTCGCTGGGCGCAGTGCTACCAGTCGGACCGCGGACGACTCGAGTGTACATGCGCCGCCGCCGCGACCGACGACGGGGTCCCGGCGTGCCGATAAGTAATATTGCGATTTTTCGATGTTGTTTTTTTTTTTTTTTCTTTTCCCGCTCCGCTTCTAATGGTTCGGAGAGAACGAAACGGGTCGGCGAAATAAAAAAAAATCGTAATTTTTTTTTTTTTTGTTTTTACGAAATGTCACCGCGACAATGTAGCCGTTACACGCCCGCGAACTAGAACATCTCGAGTGCTCGGGACGACGAGCGTATTATACGAGAGAGACTTGGCAACGGTATATAATCATAATAATCATAATAATATTAGTATGTTATTCTGTTATCTATCTCGAACGGGGATTACTGTTACGGAGGTATATGCACATCACCACCATCGTATATACACCATAATTATTACTATTATGCGCGCACTTAAGTTTCGTGTGTTTGTTTTAAGGATTTTTTTTTTTTTTGTTGTTTAGCTTTTCAATTTAAGCATCGGAGGCTTATTATTATACGGCTGTACGCTTGTTTTTCATATACATTATAATATTATATTTTTTTTATACATACAAGCTCTCTACCTGTACGCCGACGGATGAACGCTACGTGGTTCGTCTGACTATCGTTTCGTAATCGCTCGCAACGCGCACATACGTATAACGCTCTGGACGTGTATATTAATTTCGTTTTTTTTTTTTTTTTTTTTTTTTTTTTTTTAAGTGCCACTCAGTTTTTATAATACCGCGTAAAGTTTCTTTGTGCGNNTAATTATTACTATTATGCGCGCATAATTATTACTATTATGCGCGCACTTAAGTTTCGTGTGTTTGTTTTAAGGATTTTTTTTATTACTATTATGCGCGCACTTAAGTTTCGTGTGTTTGTTTTAAGGATTTTTTTTTTTTTTTTTTTTTTTTAAGTGCCACTCAGTTTTTATAATACCGCGTAAAGTTTCTTTGTGCGACTAAATCGCGCGATTCGAGTCCGCGCGCCTATAATCATTATATACGAATAAGAGAGGTTAGACATTTTAATTCAATTGTTCGTAATGTTGATTACCGCCCAACTGTAAACTTTGGCGAGTTTAAAAAATACAATTTTATCGCTTTTCAATTTTAAAAAAAAAAAAAAAAACTACACACGAATAACTAAAATTATTATTATCGCAATAAAATTGCACACTTTCCGTATACACATCGTTTTTTTCTTACGCATACCGCTATAATACTTATCGTTTTTTTTTTTCTTATATAAAACCGATATACAACATTCGATTTTCAAACAACGTAATTTCTAAAAAAAAAAAAAAAAATAATAATAATAATACAACGTCAATAGGTTTCCTTCCGCAAATTCTTGCGTATCTTGATTAACGTACACGTGTCTATCTTAACATTTACAACTAACGCCAGCGGCAGAAGTATTTTATCGTCGCATAATTATATATCTGACCCTCCCCCCCCTACACTGCCATATCGCCCCGTCCGTCTAAACTTTGACACACGAAACAATAATTATAATATTGTAGATAATTACGTGCGGGTCAATATACAATATACGGTTTCCGAGATTCCGTTACATTTTTCAGGAAAAACAGTTTTTTAGTAGTCGATAATAATAATTTGAATACTTTGTTACAGAAAAAAAAAAAAAATCAAATCGTATGATATAATATAAGGCGAATAACGTATTGTTCGAATTTTTCTTATTTTTTTTTTTCTAATGTTGGAAAATCTGTGCGAGGTCGTTCTATACGACGGACAGCGAAATGCGTTAGCCACCTATCGTAGGTAGGTACGTAATACGCGATTGAAACAATATCGTATTATTCAAAAATAAAACATTATCGAATAATATTACAATCGGGTTTTTTTTTTTTTGTAAACACGGTCGCTACGCGCGTTCCATAATGTATATTTTATCAGCCGAATAACGAAATAAATTGAGTTTGGCGCCCATTCATAAGAACGCTATTTTTTTTTTTATTTTTTTTTTTCAAAAAAGAGCACCGAAATTCCGAACTGTACATTTAGAATTTCGTACCTTTGCACTTTGCGAGCTCTAACACGCACGAGCGTAAACCGTGAACCGCGGGGTGGTTAAAAAACTACTATTTTGTGTGCCGCGTCGCCGGAGATTGCGGACGGCCCGTCGGAACGCGGCGCCAAGGGAAATCGTTCTCAAACCTCCCCCCCCCCTCGCCCCTCCTCCCCATAAAACTCCCGTAGTAATTACTATGCACTCTCGACAGATTTTACAATGATACTATTTCGAACAATGCGTTAGAAATCCATTCGAACGGTTTTATTTTGCACGCCGAAAGCGTATTCCTTAACCCGAACGATAACCTTTGGGTATTATCGCGATCCCAAAATCACAAAAAAAAAAACCAAACAAACGCGTTTTCGAAACACTGTTCTCGATCGCGGTACAATTACAACTTTTCGATGCTGATCCGATGGTTTTTTTTTTTTTTTGGCTTCCAAAAATTAACAATACGTAAATTTCCCTCGGTCCAAAAAGAAAATAAAAATTTACATTGCACAAATCGGATGTATACGATGATAAACTATACTGTATAGTCGTATACGGCAACGGCTATAACGAATTAGCATTATTGATCACAATGTAATAGCGCGTTATGTTTTAGTTTCGAAGATCGTCATGTAGTTTCGAAAAATAATAATTTCGCTTCAAAAACGATAGTCGGTATGGGTAAAAAAAAAAAAAAAAACGTATTTTTCGTGTAAATAGTATTTATAGTATTTCGAGTCCGTTATAAAATCGATAAAAACAACAAAACGATAATAAATACCATATGTGTGTATTTTTCGTTTCGCTCTTAAATTGATATAAACATAAAGGAAATAAAAATAATAATACGACTTATCGTTATTTTGAGATTCGACTTACCTGCACTGCGGTAACGGTATACAGATTTGCGGGTTCACGACGACGACGCGCGTTTATCGCGAAACAATATTCGTTAAAATTTATCTTTAAATTTTGTTGTTTTTTTTTTTTTTTTTTTATCGAACTTATTACCGACGTGGAACTCGCGGTTTAATGTCGATCTAACACTTGACAGGTACCGTTCGTGAAAGATAATTGTCTTGTACGAAACTTCTCGCATTCGGTTTTGGCTCCACCTACGACGGCGTCCCCCTACTCGAGCGTGTTCGTACAAAACATATACGTACCATAATATTATATATATATATATATATATATATATATATATAATAATATTGTACATGCACCGGGCACAACCTATATTCACTAAAAAAAAAAAAAAACAACCAATATTCGTATTAAATACCGTATAACAAATCGTGTATGTTCTTTTGTTATTGCGTTTAAAAATTAAACGCGAGACTACAACAATAATGAACCAATCGCGAGAATATATTTCATATTATCGAGTATATTCGTAATATATATATATATATATATATATATACTAAATAGGTACATATATGAGCGTCCGTGTGTGAGAAAAGAGGGGGAGCAGGGGACACGTCCCACCCCTGGATTTTCCGTATACTCATACGGTACGTGTATATAAGCATCTTTAAACGAAAAGGCCGATATCGTTAATGATATTATAGTATACCTGCATTGTTGTTCCTCCCCCCCTGGATTTTCGAAGATGGGAGCATTGGACGCGTTCGGGTACACCGTATACACATCGTAGTACATTACATGATATGTAAGAGGAAATTGTTCAAGGGTTAGGTCAAATGAACGAGGGAGGGGGGGAGTCGATATTTCGCTATAAGAACATTTGTATTATTATTTTTTTTTTTTTTTAGTAAATATAATATACTTTATTACTATATACCTACACAGTATTATATTCCGAGTAAAAACGTCATAATATACGAGAGAGAGTCACAATAACACTTTCCGCCTCTGTCTATCGAACGGACGACGTAACGAAAATTTATTTTTCGTCCTTCCAACAGTGCTTATATCCAACACAAAAATTATTTCACCAAACAAAAGACGATAAAATTTACCATGGTTTCGCTGGGGGATCTGTTGACATCTATTTCCCAGATAATCTATATCCGTACCCCAATGGCGGTCAAACAATTTCGCCATGAGGAGATAATTGTTTGACAACTGTAATTAAAAATATTGAAGGGAAATGTGGTTATGAAGAGGGGATATAAGAGATATCGAGGGGGCGTTTGTCCGGCCCCTATTAGTAAGTAATTTTTTTTTTTATTACTTTTTAAATTGTATTTTTATCTTAACAGAAAATTGTATAGTGAATGTATCAAACAAATCTCCACGTGAAAGCATAGTAAATATTATGGTCGATAATTTGATAAAATAATTTTTATTTTAGGGTAATTAAATCTTGAGTAGGTACCATTTGAAAATACGAAAACAAATTTTTGCTTTATTGTCGGTTATATAGGTAGCGTAATTTTCTAAAGGGATATAGTACTTACACACAATAGAAAGTTTGAAAAACAAAAAACCTTAATCGTATCAATTTTTTTTTATTTTTAAATAATATCATCTTGTAATCCATGGTACATTATTAGGTAATATCAATCAATTGAAAATAATAGTAATAATAATATTATTGAAATAAGAAAACGGATAAGTATGATAAAATTTTATGTTATTATGATATTATTTTTGTTTTAAACGATTATAATATAAAATAAATAATAAAATTTTAAAAAGAGCTGACATACGTCATACCATTGGTGGGCCACTACTGTAATTTGGAAACGTAAGATATTCGAACATAATTTAGTATATATTATAAATATATACTATAATATATTTAGTTAATATCCGTACGTAATGATAAATAAGTGCAAACGAAAAACGACTCTGCAGCAAATTTAGACCAACATATTCCGACAATTTTATATATCACTTTGTAACTACATAAAATAAATTACAACTATTATTATTATTGGTGTTTTAAACAAGTTTTAATATAAATAAGTTGCAACATTTATTATGAATTATGATCCACCAGTGGCGTAATTGGGATGGGTCGCAGGGGATCGCACTTGCCACTTCAAATATAATACTAAGGTCACAAGAGTATTGATTTACAACCCCTGAAGCTATTTCTGTATTTATCATTTTTCCTTTGTAGAAAAAGAATTAAAATACGTAAGCAATTATTTAACTATCAAAAATAAACATGTTCGAAAATGATAAAATTGAAATTATATATTATATTATTAATACTCCACCAATGAAAATATAAATGATTACAGTTTAAAATTCACTATTTCACTATTAAAAATTAAACACAAATAAATCTATTTTTATATTTAAACTTTTCTGTCGTCGTATTTTTACTTATAACATTTGATTTACTATTATTATATTTTTTGATGTAATCTATAGAATATTTTAGTTATTGAGTATTAAAAAGTAAAAAGTACTTACTAACAAAAATTGCAATAACCAATAAATGTACAACTCATTACTAGGGCTCAGATTTATATGTATTAAAAAAAATCAAAATATGGAAAATAAAAAAATTAAGACACTTAAATTGAAATTATTATGAAATTGAACCTTATTCACCATTGATCTGGATAGCAATACAATACCATATATAATATAAAAATAATACAGTAAAAATAAATAATAATTATTGAAAAATACAATCGTATATAAATAATCATATATGAACAAATTTTCGAAATATGTGGGGAAAAAATGGAATTATTGAAAAATATGTAAAAACGTGTACTTATGGCGAAATATGTAAAATCAAATATAGTTAATTTCATTGAAAATCGCTTGAAACGAATTTATTACTTACCTAAATTAATTTATCAAATCACAGTAAAAATATACATTTACATATAAATTCGAGCCCTAGTCATTACTATACAAATACATTAAAATAGAGTGAGACAGTTACAATTTAAAAACTCTGAATAGTGTTTATTAATATGTACCTAAATAAGAAGCATGTTGTTTATTTATAATGTATTTTGTGTTGATAATACGATAATATTAAAACATCATTTGTGGAGGCAAAGCTCCCACAGATCTTTGCATCCTGAGTAATTTTACAACTCTTGCCATTATGTCAAAATTGTGCCACTGTGATACACATAAAAAAAAAAAAACTAGAAGTTTTCAAATAGCGCAGTAATATTTTTAAAAGTAAATAGTACTTTTTAGTCTAAAAAGTGCATAATATTATCTAATGTAAAATAATCAATGAAGTATCGAATTGTCGTAAACAAATTATTTATGATCTATTTACTTAGTAATAAATCATCTATTATATTATCAGAGAATTATAATTTTCTTATTGAATATTTCTACAATCATTTTATAATATTATGTAGATTGATTAAAACGAGTTCATACCGATTGAAGCAATAAACTTTATGGCATAATACATATCCCAAGACCCCAACCAGTCCACGCCTGATAACAAGTGAGTTTTGTTATGCAATAAAAGTTACCTATCCCAAACTAAAAAGGTCTGAGCAGATTACGCTACATTTTTTTTTTTTTTTTTTTGGTGAATTTAAAGGGCCTGTATAAATTCGGGTAAAAAGGTAATTCGTGTGAAAGTTTTTTTTCTTGGAAAACACTTCGACGGTTAGTAAAACTGCTCCGAATTTTTTTTTTGTCATATGCCTTAAAGGATGTGAAATTTTCGCCGGACGGTATTTTATTTGAAACATGTTTCGAAATAATTGGTTTTTATAAGTTTTTTTTTTTTTTTTTTTTTTCAAAAAACTTTTTTTGTATTAGGCAAATGGTGAAATGTTCCAATTGTTTGTGCCGTACATCAAAAGATGCGAAATTTCCGGTTACTTAATCGTTTATCGACATTTTCCGTAGTTCACCTCTCACTTCCCAGGTTTATTTTGTTTGTTGATTTCCTGGTTACCGTGGCAACAAACGTTTATTTCGATTGCGATAATTTATCGTCGCGTACGGTTCATTTTACCCCGGGTGTATCCTACTTTCCCGACTACCCGTCTACAATATCAGATACATTAGGATATAATAAATGGGTACAATAATTGTGCGTTCAAAAAAATAAAAACGTTCCGTAGCAATATTATTATTATTATTATTATTATTACTATTATTATGGTAATATAACAATATTGGGTACCTATTCTGATGAGAAAAAAAAAAAATTAACAATCGGTCGTATATATTCCGGAGGACGACGACGTGCCGTTCGCCGGCTTTCCGACGGGCGAACGAATATTATCGTCGTTATTGAAAATTCCATCGAATTAAAGAACAAATAGCATGTGGGGGTTACTATGTGAAAGACCGACCGTGCCGATTTTCACCGAAAGGCATTCGGTTTTTTTCACACGGTCGCGTTTTATAGTAGGTATAAAATTATTGTGACATCATACTATAACGGGTTTACAGCGCGGAGAAAAAAAAAAAAAAAGAACGTAAACGACCATAATGGTGCCGCCGACCGGGGGATTCACGGAGAAAATACCATTTACATTGTAAAAACGCGCGGGGGGGTGTGGGTGGGAATTCAACTCCCGCGGAACGCCGTTCGGCGACAGAATAGAAAACTGAAAAATTACAGGATATTTCTTTAAAATTTCTTCGACCAGGTTTTTTCGCTTAGGCACTTAATCCGAATATAACGAACGAAACATTATCTGTGGTAAAATACAGACACACACACGCACGCACGCATATATATTATTATGTAGCCATAAACATAAGCGTGCCACGGGATAGTCAGGATAAGCACTTGACTACTCTGCGAACATTTTTTTTTTTTTTTTGTATTCAATATTATCGTAATAATGATATTGTGCTCGACGCGGTAAACGGTAAAATGTTTATTGTCGGAAAACCATTTCTTCAGTTCTTCATATGACTGTCAGCTGGAACTATTGCCAGTAAACCGCGGTCCAATCATCGAGTATTATCATATTTTTCTACAAGTCCAACACAGAATGTAACGTTCAATAAGCTAATCTATCGCTATCACAAACCGCACAACTGACCAGCTGATTATAATTAATTTTACCATGTTTGTGTTTAAATATATATGACCACCCGTAGTAATGTCTGCGTATACGCCTAT